CTCATTACTCTCTTGTATGACTTTGATCACATATTTGAATTTATTTGAACAAATCTGAACAGTGATTGTTTTCCTGCTGTTTAATCCAAATTCACACTTTTTCCTATAGGTACAGAAATTATAATAATCAAGGTTTGTATTCAACCAGTTCTGAAATATTATACTGGCTCTGAAAACACTACAATGCTATCTTATTAGAAGTAGTAGAAATGATATTCTCAGAAGACCCCTCACAGCAACTCTTCACACAGTATTAGTACTTGAAAATATTAAGAGGTTGATATTGAGATTCCTAACACCTGAGAAATATGTAGAATTGGAGTTGATTCAAATACATGGGGCTAGAGGCTGGCATTGTGGGGCAGTGTGTTCACCAACACTCCCGACACCAGCAACATACATCAGAGAACAAGTCAAGAGTCCCAGCTACTCTGCTTTCCAACCCAGTTTCCTGATGATGTGCCTAACAAGGCAGCAGAGGATGAACCATGGGTTCCTGCCATCCATGTGGGAGACAAGATGGAGTTCCTGTCTCCTAGCTTACGCCTGGCCCAGACATTTGGAGAGTGAACTAGCCTATGGGAGAACTCCCTCCCCTTCTCCCTCCCCCTCTCCTTTTCCTTGCACTTGCCCTTTCAAATAAGTACATAAATAATAAGTCCTCTAAGAAAGAAACTCATTAGGATAGAATTATATAAACTTCGAGACTCTGAGGTACTGGGGATTAGAACTTCAACTTATCATTTGGGGGTATACAATTCAACTCACTACAACAGCATTTATTTTCAGTTTGGAAATCAATGTTATGATACTTTAATGGAAAAAATTGATAAGTAGCCCACATTTACTCTCAAACACAGTAAATGTAGTGCAGAGAACACAGCACCTTACAAGTCTGTGTAAACTCATGGACAAAACTTTCTAGGTCAAGTCTTTTACAAGAATCCTAGTTAAAATGGAAAATGTAGTTCTATTCATATTTGTATATAAATGTGTATATATTTATATATATTTACTTCTGGGGTATATTATGGCTAATTAAATTATATTTAACAGTTAATAATTTTTACCAACACATTCCCATTGGTATTCAAAAAGCATACTATATGTGCATATTCTGCTATTTGTTTTACTAACTCTTGAATCTGTAGTTATCTTTTTCTTTCAGTTGTCGTCTTCAATTGTATTGAATGACATATCCGAAGACCAGCACTTTTATTTCCTTATTTCATAGGATTTTTATTACTAGGTGTCGCTCCCCCTCTTCATGGAGGAACGACACAGGACCCTGCGTTGTTCTTTTGTCTGCTCGGCCCTCCCCAGGTTTGCTGCTGGTTCTTCCCGGGTTGGCTACTGTCCCTTCCACCTCCGTGGAAGGGCAGTTCCCCCTGGCCACATTCCCCACTTCCGCAGGGGAGCGGCACACCGCCGGCCGGCTCTCTCGGGGGCTGCACAGGTGTTCCCCTTAGATGTTCCCCTTAGATGTTCCTGGTGCATGCCGTCTCTCTCCTCCTCTACAGTCCTCCTCCGCCAATCCTAACTCGGCCGCCCACACGCCGAGTACGCTGCTCTCCTCCAATCAGGAGCAAGTCCTACAGTTTATTGGCTGAACTGGAGGCACCTGTGCAGAAGCTGCTTTCTTCTCCCCCAGCGCCATATTGTGGGAGAGCAGATGCATAGAATAAGTCCTAATTCCAGTAACAGTATAGTCCGAGTTGCTCCCCACACTAGGTACTATGAATTCATTTAATGGATATCTTTCTGTTTATTTTATTTTAATTTTTATTGAATTGTACATCCTATTTTGTTTATTCCAACTTAGCAATAACAGTGTTCAAAGCTTTGTCTTACATATAGGACATTAAAACACCTCAATATGCTAATTTGGTGTATTTTGCACTTTAGGGTTTCAGCTGAAAGTTGTAATCAGTTTAATATATGTGACAGCTTTCAGTAAGCTGTTTATTAAATTAATTTTATTAAATATATTATCTATCTCCTTTATGTTGTTATTATTTGTCTGCTTATACTACATGGAAACACAAAGATTTAAGTCAGAAAACCAAAAGCAATTGCCAAGATTAGCACATCTTCTAATAGTCTTTTAAAATATATTTGATGCAGCATTATCTGGAACTAAATCACTTGCTATTTCACTTTTTCAATATAAAACCATTATTATTAATGTTATATATGTTATTAATCAACATAATAAGTCATATTTGTATGTGACTAAGGAAAGCATTTACTATTCTGTTTCTTCTAATTACAGAAATAACACATATTAAAAGCAGAATATTGAGAAAGTACATAAAATTATAAATATAAATTTAGCTTCCTACTCATCAGCAACTGCTGCTGATATTTTTATGAGTATCCTTCCAAAATGTTAGGCAGAAAAATTATTATAAAGGATATTTCATCACAGCATTGCTTTTGATATTATAAAAATTCGAAAAAGGGTTGTTTAATAAATGTTATTGGCCGGCATCGCGGCTCATTAAGCTAATCCTCTGTCTGTGGCGCTGGCACCTCTAGTTCTAGTCCCAGTTGGGGCACCGGATTCTGTCCCGGTTGCTCCTCTTCCAGGCCAGCTCTCTGCTGTGGCCCGGGAAGGCAGTGGAGGATGGCCCAAGTGCTTGGGCCCTGCACCCACATGGGAGACCAGGAGGAAGCACCACCACCGGCCATAGCGGCCATTTGAGGGGTGAACCAATGGAAGGAAGACCTTTCTCTCTGTATCTCTCTCTCACTGTCTAACTATGCCTGTCAAAAAAAAATTAAAAAAAAATAACTGTTATTAAGTCACATAATGAACTGCTCTACAATTATTACAAAGGTGCAAATTTGTGTGAAAATGGAACAACATTCTACAATGCATTTTATACAAAACAATAACAAGTTGCAACACAATATGTGATATAGAATTGTGTTTTCTCAATAAACTTTTCATTCTAAATTAATCTTAGAACTACAGAAAAAATTTATGAGGATAGTATAGTTTGTTCCCATATTTCCCACACCATATTTCCATGTCCTAAACTCCTATGAAGAGTTTACCTTACACCACATGATGACTTTGTTCAGCCATTTCATTTGAGGAATGTCATTCAAATATCTGGCATTTGTTGCTTGACACTAATAACCTCTGCCCTTTTTAAGGAATAGTTTGTATTTTTACATTTAATTTTTAAAAGAATGTGTTCGATTTTACTCTTCTCATTTTATTTTTCTTTCTTCAAAATTTCAATCATTAGATGGACTGATGAAATTCTGTTTATTGTGTGCACCATGGTGCTTTGAAGCACCTGTACACTGTGAGATGTATAAATCTGGAAATTACCTTTATCACCCCAGATGATGATTGGGTTGTGGTAAGAACATCTGATGTTCGCTTTCCTGCATTCATCAAGAATACAGTTGGTTTCACTCATTTGTGGCACCTGCACAGGGTGGTTTCATAGAAACGGAATAGAAGGGAGGTTGCCAGAGGCTGGGGCTAAGGGTGCTGGAGATGTTTAGGGGGTAGATGTTGGCCAAAGGACACAAAAAGTTAGTTAGGAGGACTAATTTCTAGAGATGCATTGTACAGTGCAGTGATTACAGTAAATAATGATATATTCATTTATTGCTTTATTCTATTTTAGTATTTCATCCTTCCTTATTCCTATACTTTCTTTAATTATATCAACTCTTTTCAAAAAGCTTTTGGCTGATATTAGCATTTCATCTCATGGGTAATGATTATATTTATACATAGTATATGTACATTACATATGTGTCTACTTCCACGTCTGTGACTTTATTTGAATTTATCTCTATCTCTTTAACATGTATGCTTGTGTTTGCATTTATCCATCTTCACCTTTAATGGAATCTATAAATGCTTGTGGGATGGCTGATGCTGTTTTCAGAATGATATCTAATATTTTGAATAACTGAAAACATTTAATGCATCACATAGTAAATCTAATGATTATGGAAAGATGTTTTGAGTGACATATGTTGCAAGAAAACTTTATCTGTTACATCATTGTGTTCTCTTAGTTTGTGAATTAACCCTCCAAGGAAGCCTGAATCTTCTTTTTTTCCCATCAGTCTGTGTTTTTGTGTGCCTCTGTGTGTGTGTGTGTGTGTGTGAGTTTTACTTCCGGTAGTTCTTTTACCATCTTTAAAATTAAAACATTTCTCCTGTATATGTCTAGGAATGTCTCAATCTTCCATGTAGAGAAATTAGACATTTTGTTCATTTCATTGGCTGTTTTTGTCAATAAATCATCGTGGGGTTTCTCTTTCACAGGAAAACCATCTTCAGTAGCTAAACGATCTCTATGTTTTTTTTCAGAGAAACTGCGGTGAGAGCCTCAGCAGGGCCCAACCTTGGTGTAACCACTGGGAAGACAGCTGCTGACTCACCATCGAGACTCTACAGAGGCCAGCGCCGTGGCTCACTAGGCTAATCCTCTGCCTGCGGCGCTGGCACCCTGGGTTCTAGTCCCGGTCGGGGCGCCGGATTCTGTCCTGGTTGTCCCTCTTCCAGGCCAGCTCTCTGCTGTGGCCCGGGAAGGCAGTGGAGGATGGCCCAAGTGCTTGAGCCCTGCACCCCGTGGGAGACCAGGAGAAGCACTTGGCTCCTGGCTTTGGATCAGCGCGCTGCACACTGGCTGCAGCGCGCTGGCCGCGGTGGCCATTGGAGGGTGAACCAATGGCAAAAGGAAGACCTTTCTCTCTGTCTCTCTCTCTCTCACTGTCCACTCGGCCTGTCCAAAAAAAAAAAAAAAAAAAGACTACAGAAAGCCACGGTCTGTCCCCCTCCAAAGTGCAGCGAGTGGAACTGACAGTTTCAAATAGAAAAGTGCAGCTCAGAGTGGAGATGTTCCATTTTCTAGTGAAGTGGATGAAAAGCTGCTAATGAAATTCGTTTTTCTTGGGAGGAGGGAAACACTAGATGTGAGGTGACAGCTGAGGGTAAACCTGCAAATCCCAGAGCAAGTCAGTACCCGCCTCTGCTCTAAAGTGGGCTCGAAGGAAGGCCACCCAGCAATCCACTGAGGTGGCTGAGCATGGCCACCATGGATTGTACACCTGCTGAGAACACCTCTCTGTCATGGTTTGTTTTTAAAATAATGGCAATAGTTCCTGTGTCAGTGAGAACTTTCAAAGAACTGGCAGCAAAGCTTGACACAGGTGACGTGCAGGGAGATGTGTGTGTCTAGGTGGACACCATGCCCAGCATGGGAAGCCCTTCTGCTTCTTTGGTCATAGCTTTGTTAGGGCTGGGAAACCACCAGCAAAGGCCGATGACAGGTCCATATGCCAGCCCTACCACACGAACATCTGCACTGTGAGGTGTCAAAGGTAGAATTGCTCTTGATCCGGAAGGGTGGGGAGTGACCTGTAGCATAGTCACCCACTGCGTTTGCTGCGCTGAGGCAGCGGTGAGGCTCCTCTTCACTGCAGTTATGGGAGGAGTCAGTCTTCTGATTTGTAAAAGTGAAAGAAACAGAAAACTTAGGAAGAGGTTAATACCAAAACACGCTGTCCACAGCCTTCAGCATTGTCATTCTAAAACTGAATTATTTGGAACCAAAAATGAAAAAAAAAAATCAGAAGAAAACAAGAAATAAAACAAGGAATTTTGTTCCATAACTTACTTTACTATTTTTCCATTGATATATTTCAACTCTATTAAAAATTAATTTGAGACTTTAATTTAAAATGTAGATATTATCCAGCTACAGCCTTTTGGAATAAAACTCTTTGATGTGAGAAATTTGAGCTAACAAATATTAGTATTTCTCACTTGCAAAACAAAATTCAGAGTAAGTGCCAAAAAGTGTTAGTTGAAAACTTCAGTTGTGAATTTTTTTTTAATTTGTAAAAGGAAAATGAAATAAATTTATACTCATTGTCTTCTTCTAATTTCCTAAAGTTTATAATAATATATAATCAATTATTTTTAACAGTGTGATATATGAAATGATATATTGTATTTTAATTTTTGCTTAATAATTTGATTTAAAGGAGGTTTGTTTGTAGGTCAATTTTCTTGATAACTATGATTTTTTTTTATATTCTTGAGCCCTCTCAATGTATTATTTTTAATGCTTCATTTATTTGAGAGAGAGAGAGAAAGCGAAGAGCTCCCATCTACAAGTTCACTTTCCAAACGCTCACAATGGCTGTGTCTGGGCAGCATTTGGAAACAGGAGCTAGCCTGGAATGCAGTCCAGGCCTCCACCAGCGTGGGAGGAACTCAATTACTTGAGTTGTCAAAATCGCTTCCCAGGCCTCTTCTAGAGCTTCACACAAATGAATCTTACATAATCTCATACTGGCTATGAGGCTCATCAATGTTATTCTTATGACAGTAGTTGGTTTCTTTTTATTGCTAAGTGATAATCCATTTTCTGCAAATGCTGGGATTGTATTCTGTTTTCAACTATTATAAATAAACTGCTAGGAAAGTTGATGTAGAAGTTGTTAATATTTTAATTTCTCCTAAATAAATACCCACAAGTAGGACTGCTATGTCATGTTGTAAATGTTTGATTTTGAGAAATAGCCAAAACAGTTTTCAAGGTTGATGTACCTACCTGCATTCTCACCAGCAAGGTGGACAGTTGTAGCTGTCTCACTTATCAACACTAAATATTGATACTGTTTAAAAACTTAGTCTTGTAAGTATAAGGAAATATTCAGTTGTGTGATTTACATGTCTCTATTGAATAATAATATTAAGAATCTTTTCTTGGGCATATAGTCCATTATTCATGGGAGTTTAATTTTTGGAATATATTAAAACTTGTTGGCTGGCGCTGCGGCGCACTAGGCTAATCCTCCACCTTGCAGCGCCGGCACACCAGGTTCTAGTCCCGGTCGGGGCGCTGGATTCTGTCCCGGTTGCCCCTCTTCCAGGCCAGCTCTCTGCTGTGGCCAGGGAGTACAGTGGAGGATGGCCCAAGTGCTTGGGCCCTGCACCCCATGAGAGACCAGGAGAAGCACCTGGCTCCTGCCATCGGATCAGTGTGGTGCGTTGGCCATGGCGGCCATTGGAGGGTGAACCAACGGCAAAAGGAAGACCTTTCTCTCTGTCTCTCTCTCACTGTCCACTCTGCCTGTCAAAAAAAAAAAAAAAAAAAAAAAAAAAAAAACTTGTTTGTTGCTCAACAGATGATCTCTCATGGTGAATATTCCATATACAGTATAATAATATATTGCAGCATTTATTGAATATAATATACTGAAGACAACTGGGTAGTGAAAGCAAATGGCAATATTTGACATGGGGCTTAAAATTTATAAGATACCAGAAAACAAAAACACAAACAGTAGAGGTTCTTATAGACCCAAAATTTCTTCTGATCTCTTTTTTAGTCAACCTAAAAACTTAGTATTGATTATAGTGCAAGTTTGTAGTTGACAAAATTTCTTCATTCTTATTTATCTGAAAATGTATTCATTTCAATTTAGGTCTAAAAAATAAATTATACTCAATATAGATCTGGTTTCTTGGGGTGTTTTGTCTTTCTTTCCATTTGACATTTTTAAATACCTGATTGCACTATCTTCCTAGCTATTTTTGTTTTGGGCAGTGTCAACCTCATTAAAACAATCATTTATTATTAAATGTCTCTTTTTTATCTGCCCAATTTCAGGCATATCTGTTTTTATTTGGTTTTTCAGAATTTGACTATACTGTGTACAGTATTTTGTTTTGTTGTTGTTTATTGGGTTCTGTTTGCTTCATTTGTTTTTTGTTTTGTACTTTCCTGCATGACGTTTGTTTACCTTCTTAAATGTTCTTTTTTTAAGATTTGTTTTCTATTTATTTGAAAGGCAGAGTTAGTGTGATGGAGAAACAGAGAGAGAGAGAGAGTCTTCCACCTCTGGTTCATACCCCAAATGGTCACAACAGTCAGGACTGGAGCCAGGCTGAAGCCAGAAGCCAGGAACTTCTTCTGAGTCTTCATGGGCCCAAGCACTTTCCACGTGCTTTCAGGGGCCCAAAGACATGGGCCGTCTTCTGCTGCTTTCCCAGGCACATTAGAAGGGAGCTGCATCAGAAGTGGAATACCTGAGACTCGATAGCACCCATATGGGATGCTGGCACTGCTGGCAGTGGCTTAACCTGCAAAGTCACAGCACCAGCCCCTCTACTTATACGTCCTAAATGTGCTAAATATGTACTTATATGCACTAAAGTACACATAGTTTTACATTTTGATTGTTATATTTTATCTTAAATTCTTTTATTTGTGTGGCTTTTATTTCTCTGCTGAAATTTACTATCCACTCATAACCATATTTTTTAAGTCCTTCAACATATTTATTATACCATATTTAGACTCAGTTCTATGAATGGCTTTTCTCTGCAGCTGTAGGTCAAACATTCCTGTTTATTTAGATATTTGACAAATTTTGAACATTCTGGATGACATGGTATAGACAGTCCGCATGCTGTTGACCTTCTCTGGTTTACTTCTAGCAGGCATTCAGTTACTGGTTGATTGCCTTGAATTTTTGTCATCTTGTATTTAGGTCTCCTTAAGACAAATCTGTGGGAAGTACAGGGTATTTTCCAAGCCAGTCTAACTTATAGAAATTCAACTTCTGAATTCTCTCTCCATTTTTATTTTTTTGTAGTTTGATTTTGGTCTTTTTTTTTAAGGGTCTCCTTTTGTTGCTGCAATTAGATGCTCACAGGTATTAACAAAATCATTCCAACCTCATGGAGTACAATCTCCATCCCCTCCCAGCACTACTTAATATCTAGTATCTATCTCCCTCTCCAATATATGTGACCACCCTCTGGTGAGCCTCTTGTAGTCTCTCTGAAAATGCATTGGCTGGTTTCCTGATGGGACTCACCTGTTGATCCATATTCAGACTTTTGTATTCTCTCCTCTGTGCTAATTCCTCATCTCTGGATCCTTATCTCATGGACTACAACCATTTTAGCAACTGTGACCCAATTTCTACAAGGTCAGAGAGAAGTGTTCTCTAGCTCTCTGTACTGGAATTGGGAAATTACCCCCAGATAGAGCAATGCAATTGTCACGGGAGGCACGTGGTAAATTTCATTTCAATAAGTTGTCAGCCTTTGCTGTTTATTGTCCAAACCCTGTAAACAGTTTTGTCATCATTTGATTTATGCAAAGTGTTATAATAGAACTAATCCAGTACAAATTATTCTATCATGGACAAAGTAAAGGTTTCCTTGGATCTCTTTCTCTGCCTTCGTAAGTGTTGCACCGAAAGTTGGAAAAGGCAAAACAGGTTCAACTATCATTTTTACATGTCAATTTGTAAGTTTTTAATATTTTTAAAAAGCATAAAAGGCAACAAAATATTGAAATTTACCAAGACAAGGCTTAGGTATCAGAGAAGCCCTGAAACCTTCGATTCTGTGAGGAACCTTGAAGAAAGTGAATTAATTAATTTACTGAAAGTTTATTGTACGTTAGTATAAATGTAATAAAAATAATTATTAAAAGAATTTCATTTAGCCTCTGAAAAAAGCCCTCTGACTCTTGTATTAAACCACAAACCAACAGCTTCATTTTATTTTACCCACAAACAGCTTCACTGAAACTAAATTAGTCTCCCAAAATCACAGACCAAATTGATTCTCAGAGATTATGTAAGCACAGTTCTACACTCATTTCAAGAACAAGGACCTGCAGGTCCATTTACTAGGGATTCATGTATAAAGTACTGTCACTCCCCCTCTTCGTGGAGGAACGACACTAAACCCTGCCTAGGCTTCCTATCCGAGTCACGGCACCATTATGTCGCTCCCCCTCTTCGCAGAGGAACGACACAGGACCCTGTGATGTTCTTTTGTCTGCTCGGCCCTCCCCGGGTTAGCTGCTGGTTCTTCCCGGGTTGACTATCGTCCCTTCCACCTCTGTGGAAGGGCGGTTCCCCCTGGCCACTTTCCCCACTTCTGCGGGGGAGCGGCACACTGCCGGCCGGCTCGCTGGGGGACTGCTCAGGTGTTCCTTCAGATAGATGTTCCTGGTGCATGTTGTCTCTCTTCTCCTTTATAGTCCTCTTCCACCAATCCCAACTCTGCTACCCACATGCTGAGTACGCTGCTCTCCTCC